GTTTCAAGGTTCCCCTTAGCCTTCAGCTTTGGTTAAAACCTTAAAATGTCTTTAGGCTTTCTTGATACGATTACTCATTTACAACTTTATTGTCCTGATTTCATATTTATTCGTCGGTATTACATCTGGCCTGCATGGAATTGAAATCAACGATGCTCTTGCTTCCGCTTGCTTCTTCCGCCGCAATGCTGGTGTTGATTAGATCTTCATTTGTTCTGGATGTTAGGCCGGGGTGGTCTACCCAGAGTACAAGATTTTTGGTTTTGTTGTTACCTATTTTGGGATAAAAATCTGTTTACATGCGTGACTCCTTTCCTTGTAAAAACTGTATTGCAATTTGCTTTCCAGTTTGTTTTTTACTTAAGCTTATAAATGTAGGGGTCAAGACAATCAGCCCATTGGACGCACAATCAATTGGTGATGATCTAATATCATCAGAGGTGAACTATCCTAGGAGTCTCCTCCCCTATGTACCATTTAACACGGAACCTTTATAAAACCAAAAGGAACCCACAGACAGTTTTTGAAATGTTTGACAATACGTGGATGAGTGATCAAATGACATCAAGAATATTATTAGTTACTAAAAGAAAACCTTCTGGAACAACCAGTTTCCTAGTTTCTACATCTATCACAGAGTTTTCATGGGTTACTTCTAGTTTATTGTGGTAAACAATGGCGTACACGTAGTTTGTGTTATCAATTATGTCTACAAAGAGTGGTCAAAGAAACTTCAGTGAAATAGTATGGATCCAGCATCCCTTTGAAAATGCTGTGTAGCTTGATCATATATTTAGTCTGCACCTGTTCTGTCCTATATGCTGGCAGAAGTGTGGTTTCTCTGGGTCGTCTTCTATTCTTACAAGGCCACGCCAAAATTTACTTTGCCTGGACTATTAGTATCGTCTTCTTGTATAAGGAGCGGAACCCATCATATGGTCTATCGTGGTAACTAAAATCTATACGTACAAAGCAGCAGTGTAGCATAGTCAATTTTTTTCAGATGCTACCATTTTGTTGCAGAAACACCACAATCATTGACGTTCTGTATTCTATACCTGTTATCCTCCAGTTGCAAGAACTGATGAAAAGGTCCTGACTAGACTATCTGTCGGATCCCCTTGCACTTGCAGTTAGACTACTGTATCAGCAGATGCACTAGGCTATAGATGATATCGTTGACATCACATTGCCCCTGGATATGCAAGTCGGTGTAGATGGCGATAGTTTTAGTTTAAATTTTGAAGTCCGATGAAGCTAGCGATGCGAGCCTTCTACGCTCCAGAGACTTGAATGAGTATGTGAGCGCTTCATCGCTTAAAGCGTGAAGCGGGGCCTTATCGCTTTTTTCCGCTTCACGCTTCCCTGATCTGTATCCGTGGGCTGGGCTTACAGTAATCAAACTGATGAGAGGACAAAGGGGAAGTGTGCAGCGCTTACTCTAAAGAAATGCTCGGTAGCAACCTTCTTGATCCTTTTACCAACAACATTTAACATGCTTTCTAAAATAGATGATGGAAGACTTGAAATTGTGATTTCCACCATCTTGCTGTTCCCTTCTTTCTCTTATACTAGAAAAGAAGCCTCTGATTCAAAACAATTTAGAGATGTTTCAATAGTAGAAGGATGGTTGTGTGGTGGATCTATTTTTAAAAGGGCTACCCATCCCCCACCCCTTTGGGTGCAAAAGTATGAGGTTATAGTAGATGTTGACCCCTTGGATTCTTCATGGGTTTTCTTCTACGTATTTTAGTTAAAATTCTGAGTGGTAGCAAAACTAATTAGTCGGAGTGGATGTTTCATTACCTGTATTTCCAACACTTCAAATGACCACAAACAGTCATGATGAGTAACAGACATTTGATCGATCAATCCAATCTAGTCGATCTGTTCAAGAAATTAGTTAATGATGCAGCTGTCCACCTGCAAAGTGAGTACAAATATATAAATACATAGGCGGATAGACTAATATACCTCACCTGCTTGATGACTTCTCTAACTTGATGGGCTTGGAGATTTTGAAACATTAATTAAAACTAGAACTACAGAGACTTGGTCATTTTGTTTATTTGTTAAGTTGAACTAGTATTCTTTCTCTAGAGCTTTTTCTTCAATGATATACATTATGAAATACATTAAGAACGTCTCTCTAGAACTTTTTCTTCAATGAAGTACATCAAATATAACTTGTAAAACATGGTTATGAATTTTTCAATGCCTGTTTAGTTTTGTTATAAGAGAATGATAAAAGATCTTTTTTTTTGAGGAAAATATTTCCTAGTAATAACAATATACTATATTGAGTATCCTGGAAAAAACAACAGAAAACCATTTCTTTGTCCTCTCTGTCAAGAACGATCAATATCAGTTAACCTTTCATTTACCTACTTTGTTATATGTGTTTATGATAAAGGACAAAAGCTTTTCTCTTCTTTTTCTTTCTTTTCTCTTCTGTTTTCTCAGTTTCCCTTTTCTCCTTCGACATTTTTGATAATAGACTTCACTTGGTACAATCATTCTGTTTGTATCTTTGATGTTGATTATAGGCTTATCTTAAGTATCTTTTTAAAGCATGAGAGTAATGTAGACTTCAACTGCCTTACTTTTTTTTTATCAGAATGCAATGATTGAATTGGCCAGAGTAGTGAAGGCGCAAGAACAAACTGTTGCAGGTAAACTGCACCACCTCACTCTTGAGGTCATGGATGCTGGAAAAAAGAAACTCTATGAGGCTAAGGTCTGGGTCAAACCATGGTTGAATTTTAAGGAACTTCAAGAGTTCAAGCATGTTGAAGACGTTCCTACCTTTACTTCTTCAGATCTAGGAGTTAAGCAAGGTAGCTCTCTTTTTTATGTTAATGTTAATTATGGTGTTCTACTCAATCTAATCAACAGTTTGGAGTTTTGCATCAATCAACTGAATACGACGCTTCGACTTGTAATGAACAATGTTATTTTAGGTGATATAGGTTTGTGTCAAGGTTGTAATTAATCTGCTTCAGGTCTCTGCTTTATGTGCGTGTGACTATTAATTTGTTAATATGCCCTCCTTTTTCTGTTGTTTTGTTGTCTTCTTCTGAACTGCAAGAAGTTTTGCCTAGTTCTTCCGGTGGAGAATGTTATCTCAAAAAGAGTGAATAGGCTCAACTCCGATACCCCATATCCCTAGAAAGTAATATTCTCTTGGAAATGAATTTTGTGATTGATGGTCTTTTTTCTCTTCTAAATTATTTAGTAGAGCAGAGCAGTGGATTGAAATCAGTGCCTGTGCATGATCCTGTTGTTGAAGAAGCTGCAGAGCATGCAATAAAGACCATCCAGCAGAGATCCAACTCTATACATCCATATAAACTACAAGAGATTGTTCATGCTAATGCTGAGGTATGCTCCTTTTTCGTGCTTGCCAGTCATTGGGTTGTTATTATGTGGTTAACTTGCATATGATCAGAACATCCATGCAAATGCTGTTATACCATATTTTTGAAGTAGCCATTGAATTTGCTTTTTAATAGATGGCTGATGATTCTACAAAGCTTCATTTGGTCATCAAAACCAGCAGGGGAGGGAAGGAAGAGAAGTTCAAAGTTCAAGTGCAGCACAATAATGAAGGTGCGTTCCACTTGAATCGTATGGAGCCTGACAACTAAGTTTGGGAGATCCTACGCCTCTTTAGATTTCTTTAGTTCATCTATGGAGCTATGGATCTGTTTCAAGTATAATAAGCATGTAACCAGCACAATATTTTTACTACTTGCTTTTGTTCATCTGAAGTTTGTCTTCATCTAGTGGATTACTCTGATCCACCTTAGGTTGAGGGCATCTTTGTCTTGTGTCACAGTTGTAATGTTTCAAGTATTCTGAACATAACTACTCGGTATAAAGTAAATCCTGCTCTTGAGTACATATTAAACTTTTTAAAAATTAACCAGTAGCTATTGGCCAGGGATACTTAAATAAATAAAATTGCATTCATGTGCTTCTCCCAATAGGTGTGTGTAATTCTTTTTGACATTAATGGGAGCTTTGGCTTTGGCAGTTGAATATCACAGACCAATTTCTAAAATATGTGTGTGTTACTCCTGCAAATCATCTAAACTGTATTATATACTTAAATTCAGAAGGCATTGAGGGGATAGAATGCGATATGAGTGTGTCAACCCCATTTCCGAGGATAGAGTTAAATAGCGTTATTGCTCTCCTTTGCCCTGCGGTACAGATCGAGTTTTTCTATATCCCAGAAAAGCCCTATATTCAGCGGCAAAATTAGAAATTTTAAAATCAAAGCTATATAACGTTTATAGATTTTTCTAATGAATATTAAAGATTGTTTATGAATATTTTTAATTTAATGAACAAATGTATCGAAATCTTAACATTATATATGTAAGTGTACCAAAATTTTAAGATCTAATTTTGCATGAGAATCAACTACAGTGAAGCCATATTTAAGCTTCACCGATCTCTATTGACCGCAATGATGTCAAATGAGACGCAAAGAATGAAAAGTACAATTAGATAAGATTTTCTGCAAAATTTACGAATTATAAAAATTTGCTCTTTCACTTAAATTTAGATTAAATATAATTATTTTTAAATTTTATTCAGAGTTCTGATTTTTTTATTAAAAAATTAATGATGTGATCAATTATAATTTGGTCACTCAATTTATTTAATAAAAAAATTAATTTAATTTTTTTAATTAAAAATTGATAACGTAATTGAATTATAATTAATTATGTGTCAAAATAATTTTGTAAAATTATTATTAAAAAATAATCACATAAATATATATATATATATTTTTTGATAATGACATAAATTGAGTCTTTTTTATGAGTGCTTTTCCCTTTACAAAATAACACTATTATACTTTTAGCATAAATTGGTTATGTCAATTTATTTAAAAAAGCGCCTATTTCATTGGCCGAAAGAAATCAAATTTTAATCCTTATTAATTATTTTTCCTTCTAATAATAATAATAATTAGCAGTAAAATAAAAGCTCTTAAAAAATACGGTTGAACTCAAAGCGAGCCGCTGAGAGCCAGTGCCAATTGTGTTTTCATCTAACTTTCAAGTTCCAACCTAACTCCGAAGGCCGCCGACGGCTTTTGCTGCTTCTGCCCCTCTCCCGTTTGCTGCAAAGCTCACACAGAAAACCCTAACTCCCTACTCCGGAATTTGATAATGGGTAAGGCTGTTTTCTTGTGTTAATATAGTTACAGCCTTCCGTTTTTGTACTTATTCCCAGTGTTCTTTTTTTTTTTGGTGATACAGAGAAGAAAAAGTCTCGTAAAGAAAGTAGAAAAGAAGCTCGGAAGGCTAAAAAGCATAAGAAGTTTGATTCGTGGATCCAACATCAAGTAATTGGTTTACTTTTCTCTTTATATCTGATTTTTAGTTTATCTGTATGTACAATCTAGCATGAATTGCATGAAACAGATCAATTTTTGGGCATGTTTTACTTTTAGTTTGGCTGTAAGAGCTTCAGTTTTGAGTTGTAGGAGTAGCAATGTAGAAAGATCATGTTAAGTATCCTAACCGCAATATGAGCGTGAGCTCACCTGCTTCAGCTTATCTAATCTGGCCAGTCATTACTGTTCATGTAATAAAAGCTTTTGTTTCCAATAGTTTAGGAAGATGTGAATGATGATAGATGCATAATAAGCTTTTCTTTTGGGGAAGGGTTCTAATTAATGATAATGTTCACGTATAACCAACCAACATCATTTGATAAGGTTAATTACTGTGGCAGATTTTATTTAAGCAGATACTTTTGTTTTTGGCATAAGGTCTAACTATTACCACTCATGATAAAGCACATAAATTCAACTTGACATGATTTTCTCTCCTGACATTTGGTTGTAGCAAACACAAAAAGCCCGGAGAATGTTGCCAAATTCAAAACCAACACACACAGTGCATTCACGGAAGGATAGCCAAGTACAAAGGCATGAACATTTACACTCCTTAAATTCAAAGAAAGACTTGGACACTTCTCCACGGTTGGATTCTTCTAAGGTGGAAAATACGAGTTTGAAAAGGAAACATGTCTCAAGTAAAAATTCAAAGACAATGTTTATGGAGTATCTTAAAATGGAAAAGAAGGGAGACGCTATCTCTGCGGACGTAGATCTGAGATTGGAGAGGAAACTCGCTAAGAAACTCAAGGTGAAGAATGAGAAATTGCGAGGAGAGGATGATATCGATATGTTACTTGAAGGAATTCCTTCTGTAGTTGACTGTAACAGTCAACTGAATGAATCTCTGGAGGGTACTGATACTGACTCTTCACACAAGAAACTGAAAAAAAAGACAGTGGTTGAAGTTTTAGATGGTAAACTGGTTTCTGAGGATGGAAAGTTTGATCCTTCATGTGTTAGCTATGTTGAGCATGTCGACACAGATTTACTGGCCAAACAAAAAGAGTCAAAAAAGATGAAAAGAAAGAAGACAAAGTTTGAAGAGCTTCTTGCAACTGAAATGCGTGGACAGGATATCTCCGCAGATGAGGATCTGGCTTTGGAAAGGAAGCTTGCGAAGAAGCTCAAGGTGAAGAGAGGGAAATTACTTGGGGATCATGATGATATGAATAATTTATTTGAGGGAATTCCTTCACTTCTGGATTCTTTTGAGGATGAAAATACACAACTTGTTGGAGAAACACCTCGAAAGCGTGATACGAGCTCCTCAAATGAAAGATCTAAAGAGAAAAGATATAATAAAGAAGTGCAAGGAGAAGATTACAATCAAGAGGAAGAGCAGAAAGCTGAGAGCACTTCATACTGTACAGATGTGAAGGCAGCAGCTAGATCTGCTGCCAAAGAAAATGCAATATATGTTGCTCCTCGCCTGAGGTCATGCTTGGGAAATGATTCGGAAGAGTTCGCTCAAATTCGTCGACGACTAAGAGGTATTAAATTTGTAACAGTTGCATTCATTTTGCTGGACTTTTGGAAACCTTTTTTTTTTGTTTTGCAAAATGATCTATTTTTTTTGCACCTGAGGACCATTAAAAGAATCAATTTCTTTCAGGTCTTCTGAATAGGATGTCCGAGGCTAACGTGGAATCGATCACAAGTGAAATTTCCACGATCTACCAGGTATGCGACTTGTTCTCATCCAATATTCTGACTGATTTTTTATCTGAAAATCACCTAATGCACTGTCCACAATAATGTTTCTTTTGATTGTTTCTATGATTCAAACTAGTAATTTATATTGAAATACCTTTTGTTGGTGTATTTCTTGAGGTTTCAGATTATGATTCTTATTTTTTGCCCCTACTACTTTATTGACTCTGTAGTTTTGATACAATTGTTTGTGACTTGTCTAAGTGCAATCAGCAATTTGAAAGTTGGATCTTAAGAATGTTAATTTGTGTGATTCAGCATTGAGAATACCAAGACCATTTACATTGCTTTCTGTCTTTTTTACTGTTATCACTTATAGCCGTAATGTTCAGATATCTTTAAATACTTATACTTACTTTTCAGGAATACTTGTCTTGTACTCGTGTTGTCAAAAGCACAAAAAAGCGCTAAAGCCCCGATGGAGCTTAAAGCGCGAAGCATGGGCTTCAGTAAATAAAAGCGCACTATGAAGAATTTTTAATATATATATACACACACACACACACACACTTATAGAACATAATAGACACAAAAATAGTAAATATATAGTGCTTATAATGAAGATTGGTTTATCAAAATATATGTTTTTATATATTCTACTTTTCTAATCACTAAAATAATATTCTTCCATATCATCTTCCTCAATAGGGTGATTCTCATTGGTATCAGTATCACTAGATTTATAGCCTTCAATGTCTTCTTCCCCTGACTCATCTGAATCAACCTCATCTTCTATGTCAATACGTGGAGCTCGGGTGCTAGAGGCATTAGTTGTAATAACTTCTGACTATCTCTTTTATCGCTTTGTGTATGTCAACACATCCTCACTGCCCGACGCTCTTGAAACATCACCCCAAGTTAAGTTGTCATCACCAAATACCAATTCATCTTCTGCTTCCATATTAATACCCATCTTCCCCACCAACCATTCATTACTATGATCAATGTTATCCAACGATATTGGATCGATGACACTTCGTAAGTCATAACGAGCTTTTAAAGCACGGTTATACTTAACAAACACTAGATCATTCAATCTTTGATGCTCCAGTCTGTTTCTTTTTTTGGTATGGATCTGTAGCATTGGTTAGTGTTAGTAAATTAGTATAATTGATTAACTATGCAAAGAAAAATTAATTATATGATGTACACTACGAGTACTTAGTACTTACATGCTCAAACACACTCCAGTTACGCTCACATCCAGCAGAACTAGCCGTTAAACCCAAAATTCTAATGGCTAATTTTTGGAGATTGGGAGCTGAATTACTATATAAATTCCACCATTCAATTGTAAAAAGTGTTATGTAGACATCATTATGTACAAGTTATTACCTCAGTACTAAGTAAGAAATATTAAGTAAACTTCTAAACATAAACTAAATCATTATGAATTTTAATGTTATTGTATTCACTTACCTGGAGATCTTTTCGTTCTAGTGCTTTTTGCAATAGGAAGGCCAAATTGTTGTTCAGCTCTTGTGTACAATGGTATCTCTGATATGATCTTATCTTGTACTTCAGTGCTTGGAACCAATTTTTCAATACAAGCATACAACTCATTTTTGTTATTTTTTGACAATTCTCAGTAGCTGGATTTTGAAAGAAGAACACTGGATTTAAATAATGTCCAACAGCATGTAATGGATGATGCAATTGGCATTGCCATCTTTCATCAATAGTCTTCCCTTCAAATGCCTTTGCAATAGACTCCTTAGTTCTATCCACGACTTCATAAGTTTTCCCCCTTGGTAACTTAGCCCACCTACTAATCACCCATTTGACAGATGTAAACATTGCTCGCAGATTTGTTTTTTGACAATGCAACCGTTGCAAAGTCAGAGAACTCGTAACAAATCGAGTAATCCCACATTTCACCAACTCTTTTCTTTTTAGTGAAATCTCTCATCATATTTAAGACTCCTAAGTGTCCATAAATGAAACCAACAAGGGCAATTGCTTTTTGGAGCGGCCTTCTTGATGATAGGAATCTTCCCTATGTCTTCTAACATAAGATTTATACAGTGAACTGCACATGACATCCAAAATATGTATGGTCTTTTTCTCTGTAACAGTTCTCCTATAGAAAAAAGGGGTAAATAGATATGTTAAAATTTAGAAATCAAAACTTTGATTGATATTAGAAAGTAAAACATAAACTTAGATTTTTAAAGCATAAATTCTTACCAGCCAACACAGTTGCTATCACTTACAATTTGAACCACTTACTGTTCTACAACGCGTTCCACATATCTATCTAGCAATTCACATAACTTCTCTCGGGTCTTGACAAGTGAGGAAGCATCAATTGACTCAATAAACACTGTTCCATGTGGAGAATTCACCAAAAACTTTATCAAAGTTCTCTGTTTTCTATCTGTCCAACCATCTGCCATAATGGAAGTTTCATACTTCACCCATTCTTTTCTATGTCTGTTTATAATCTCATTGGTCAACTCAACTTCCTTCCTAAGTAATGAAACTCTTAATTCATGGTAGCTTGGACGCTTCAAGTTTGAACCATACCTTCCGACAGCCTCATTTGCTGCATTGAATGGGATCCCATTGTCATAAAAGAAGCTAGCTACTTTTTGAATCGTCATTGCTCTTGCTTCTTTATCGCACGAGTCTTTGATATTTGTTTGCCTAAGTGTTCCACGCTTTTGTAGAAATATATCCATAGGTCCCTTTCCTTTGGCCAGTTTCTTATTAGAGCCACTAGGAAAACTTCTTCCACCTCTTTTCTTATGATTGATCTCTTGGACTTCATCTTCTCCACCAACATTGTCTTGATATTCAAACTCATCAAATTCGGGAAACTCGTTAACATAGACTTCCTTTCTTATTTTTTTCTCCTCCATGTAATTTTTCAATTTCTCTCTAGCCTCCTCTGGGTATTTTTTACACATTGCTGCATTCCTAATGTTTCCGATCAAATGTTGTTTTGCCCGATTAATCCCCCCCGTGGTGGGTTTTCCACAAAAATTGCACGTGACTCTTGTAGTGTCGTCAGGGTCCTTCAAGTAGGTATAGTTCCAACCAGGATAGAAAAGAAGTTATAATATAGCAGTTATAATTTCTAAATAATAAATAATAATACACAACAAGAACAAAAAAAGGGGACACTGGACAGGTTCTTTATTACTTTTAAGCTGATACAAAAAAAAATATATAAAGAATTTTGCATGCAAGCAAATAATTAAATACAACAACTATATATATATGGGGTCCACCACTGTGGTTATATATCTTTGTTATTATCCTATTACAATTTACAGGTGTTAATTATTTTTTTTGAAATAGGTAACTTTGTATTCACAGAAAAGAGCTCATCAAGGAATTGATAAGGAGGGATTTACAAACCCCCAGGGGGTGCCATCATTCTCAAATCCAAAAAAAGTTAAAAATTTACAGTTGGCCTATAAACTCCACTATACTGTCTACTTCCCCCACTAAATCTTGCTTATACCAAAATAACAAAAGGCTAAGACATCTCATCTTGATCATCTGGGAACTGCTAGTCCTCCCTTCAAAGCACCTTGCGTTCCTTTCTTTTCGTAGTCTCCACCAAATGCAAGCAGGTACATTTTTCCACCTATCTTCCTTTGATCCTCTCTTCCCAATTCCTTGCCATTGTGTTAGTACCTCAAAAGTGGTTTTGGGCATTGTCCAATCAACCTTTAGCATACAAATGAACATGTTCCGCAGATCTGTAACCATCCTACAATGCAAAAATAAATGGCCATTTACTTCAGTGTCTTGTTCACACATATAGCACCTCGAGCAGATCTGTATACCTCTTCTTTATAGCACTTTGTGGGTAGACAAGCTCTTCTAATTACCAACCAAGTGAAGCAAGCAATTTTTAAAGGGATCTTAATCTTGCATATTAATTTCCAGGGCCAAACTGTCGTCAAAAAATGGTTGATGTTCCTTTCCCAGTAACAGGACTTCACTGTAAAAACTCCCCTGCTATGCAATTTCCAAACTGGTTTGTCGGGCTCTGCGTTGATGCCAAGGAACGGTTTCAAGGCCTGAAGTAGGTCTGTTACTCTTTCAACCTCCCAATCATTTAGAGCCCTTCTAAACATAAGGTTCCAGCCTTGAGGACTCCACATCTGCGCTATCGTGACATTCTGTTGTAGGCTAATAATGTACAAGTCAGGAAAGAGTATCTTCATTTTCACATCGCCTAACCAGATCTCATTCCGGAAACTGATCTTCAGGCCATTCCCCACTGTGAAAGTCACCTGCGCATTGAACTCAGTCCACATTCTCCTGATAGTTTTCCATACTGAGCACCCAAAGGTACCATTCACCTCTTCAGTTATCCAATTGCTCTGTGGGCCATATTTCTCAGCTATGTACCTCCTCCATAAAGCTGTATCTTCGCAACAGAATCTCCACAATCAAGGACAAGTGTCCCATATTTCTATTTATTTTAAAATTTTCTACAAAGATAAAAAGGAGTATGAAACATTGAAGCATCAACAATTTATGAAATCAGTAAAAAACTAAGAAGTAAAACAATAAGAGAAGGAAGATACCTGTGTATTTGCTTGCTGCTTGTTGCCTTGTTCTGCCAGGGGAAGAGGAAGAAGAACAGATTTTTTTTTTGTGCCGCAAGCCTTCTTATAATACTTCATCTTCTTCTTTTTTTGCCATTTAGAAACTCTGTGACTTCCCGTTAATTGTAGTCTAGGGAAGTTGGGAACTGGGACAGACTCTTTTAATAATTTATAAGGACCCCTTTTTTAAACTGAAGTTTTTTTTTTAAAAAATAGAAGGGCCCACTGAGACATGGGCCTCGCCTTTGGTCATGCGAAGTGGCAGATGGTATCTGCGCGGCGCGCTTTTAATTTCACTGCTCTTACATATTGAGATTTGTTTATTAGTTTCTTGATCACCACAGCATACCTTTTCTGACCAATGTGACTATACCTCAAAAATATTTGTTTTCTTATTCTATTGTTGTAAATTAAAAATCAACTTGGATTAACGCCTAAAATTATCGTTTCCCCCTTGGCAGACTGTTGGTCGCACCTTTGGTTCTCAGATTATCAATGATGAGGTTCTGGCATCATGTTCTAGAGGTCCGCGTGGCAATGAACAGTAAGAATTTACCTCGTCTTATCTGAAGACAATTTATCCAGTCTAATTTTCTACAGAAAACTTATTTTTGAATAATTTCTCTAGAGACAACAGTTAATTTGAATCTGGAACTGGTGTTAGCTTATTTTCTTGCAATATCTATTGTCTAACTCACGAAGTTACCAAGTTCAGAAAAATCTTCTGTCTAACCCGCTAACGTTGCTTCAAGATGTTTGTTTCCTAACAAGGGTTTCACAGAAGCTAAGTGGAACAATTTTTGAGTGACAGTAATGCTAATCAGTATTTTGTTTCTCAAAGCATTTTATTGAAGGTGGACCTTAATCTGCAAATCAGAGAATTCTTATTTGATGTTTTGAGAGGCAAAAAAATTTACCTGTTGGCACTTTTTCTAGTACCCCTTGAGTCAATGCTGTATTATCTTTCTTTTATGGGGGTAGAGAATCTTATTAGGTACTCCAAAAAGTACATAAGAAAGGGGAACATCCTTCTAAATATTGAAGGAGCACAAAAGATCTAATATCGATAGAAAATCAGATACAGGAGCCTTCCTATACCATAGGTTCATATTTTTCAAGCACCTAGATTTGACCTGTTGAGTACTGTCCTCCTTGTCCTCAAAATACCCATGTCCTTTCCATCCAAGTGAACAGAAAAAGCAAGCAGCCAAGCAGGGATAGCAGTCCAGTAATGCCTGGTACCATTTGATGTAGGCTATTGTGTACCAGCTGCATTGGAGAAGTTTTATGCATCCTGGCATGACCCAGTGAACACCAAAAATGGTAGGAAACATGGTCCAGATATGTCTAGTAAAAGCACAATGGAGAAATTCAACTGCTTCTTCACAAAGGAGGTATCTACTGCAGACGGTGAAACCTCTTTTCTGCAAATTGTCATGAGTTAGGCAGGTTTCATGCCTAACAATGAATGTGAAGCAAGCAACTCTTGGTGTAGCAAATTGTCTTTCAGATAGTCCTCCGTGGTCAACCATTTTGAGTGACTCCTGTACTTCCCAGGAGATTTTTATAGCACGGTTTGGCATTGAACTTGCCATCCTTTTGAAACTTCCTTCATATTAAGTAACTTATGGATGATCGATGGAGATAGTTTCCAATTACTGAAAAAGTTATTCATGTCTTCGACTTCCAATCATATAAATTTCTTCCAGGAACAGATTCCACCCTCCATTAGAATAACAGTCTTCCACAGTGCTGTATTGGTTTGTACTGATTGCTTACAGGTCTGGGAACTGTTCTTTCAATGGAATATCATCTAACCACATATTGGTCGACATTTTCAGTTTCTTCCATTGCCAATTTTCTGCTTACACAGTCAAAGATCTCTTCCAGAGGCTCCTGATGTGTTTCCAGCTTAAACACCATAGGCTCCTCTTACAATATTCGTGCACCACTCAATTCTTCCATATTTTCAGACACAACATCTTTCCATTGATCATTACCGTTATCATAAACCTCCTTTCAGTATTAGATTCCTATTTTGTAGCTGCAGAATTTTTTGCCCTCAAGCCTTCAGATTTCTTGTTTCTATTAATAATACTTTTGTCTAATGGATCTGCTTCTGGTCCTGATTTCCCTCCCACAGGAATTTCTTCTTATTCTGTCCAATTTCCTTTTCACACTCTTGGGCGTGGGAAATATAGACATTATATGTGTGGGGATTTCATCGATTACACTATTAATCAGGTTCAACCTGCCTCTAAATGAGATGAACTACTTCTTCTAGGGTGCCAATTTTCTTTCACACTTCTCTATCACCCCTTGCCACACATAAGCATCTTTTAAATTTGCACCCAAAAAGGCTTTCCAAGATATGTTATAGGGAAACTCTCAACTTTACAAAATAATGTTGTAGCCAGCTTGTGGATAACGGGGTCTGCATTAACAGAAAAGATGCTATTCTTTGCCAATGCACATGCAAATAGCTTGAAAAGCTAGAATAATTGCTTTCAGATGAAGTAGTTGCACTTGCTCCTCCTCTGCACTCTGTAGTACAAAACACCAAAAATTCGTCAGTGTAAAGGATATGAGGGACTTCAACTTTGTTGGCATTTCTGCCTTGAATGTTAAAACCTTCTACCTACTTAACTTCTGTATCCTTCCTTAGCATTAGACCTTAAGATTCCAAGGACAGAATGAACATGTATGGTGAAAGTGGATTGTTTTATCTTAAATCCTTATGTGTAGGGAAGTAATCTTCACGCAAGCCACTGGGAATAATAAATATTCTGACAGTGGAGATACAATACTTGATTAATTGTATCCATTATGCTCCAAACCCATGGAATCAATAATCTTGAGGAAATCCCACTTAACATTGTCGAAAGCTTTCTCCATATCTTATTTACATACAACCCCAGATTTCCCCCCTTCTGATAATGGTCTAAACACTTATTAGCAACCAGCACAGCGTTGGCCAATAGCTTCCCTTTGATAAATGCGTTTTGTTTACTTGAAAGAACTTACTAAGATTAATATACTAAAAGAAAGAAATTGAGAAAGTAATATATTTCAAATATGTATATACGTATCTACATGTACAATGACTATTTATAGCCATGAGTTTAATACACATATGTATAACTTGGCCTCCTTATTGGCCGTGATGATA